ACAAATAATATTAAATTTTATATAAAAAGCGCCTAGGATAAGCCATATCGATGCGTGCTTCTCTCCTTTTCCGACACCCTAAATGATACCAGAAATACTGATTTTCAAAAATTCGCATTTAACACCCTAAAAGATACCAAATCGCGAATTTTTACCCCTATAAGAGATACGACGAGCATCCCCGGTACTTTTTTCCCGGAGTCCCCCCTACCCGGGGCGTAGATACATTTTGACATGTTTGAACTTCTTGATTACTATTGATGGACTTGAGATCGTTAACCAGTTACATTCTCAAACTGCAGTTTGTATCTAAAGCTTTACTTGTTTAAAATGATATGTTTCCCGTGAGCCTCAGGGGTCTCAGCTCTGTAGGTTTTCGGTGACAAACTTTATTCAAGTAAGTATATATTGTGGTTCAAAACCGGTTTTCTTTTTGTTAAAAATAATGATAATGATGTACAGTTGTATATACAGAAACTGAGACCCACTAGAGGTATTTACCTACAACCATCTCTTCCAGTTCACACGTACAACATGATTGACACTTCTATTTGTTTTGCAGACGTTATGTCATGAACAAAGACACCAATAGAGACAAACAAGACCTATCAGCACTGGTCACGTGTTCAAGACCTGAGATGGGCGTGGTCACGGATCTCTTATCCGTCATCTTAAGGTAAGATGATCTTTCGGGCTTCCTGTGGTAAACAACGGGTAGGAAACAGCTGATTTGACCTTCAGAACAATTTCAAATTCAACCAATCAGAATTGAGGATTCTGGTTTTTTTTTTTGTTTTTTTTATTAGCATTTTCTATTATTTTGCCAAGTTGAACTCAGGGCTGAATACCATTTCAATCAAAAAGAGAAATTTACATTGTACTCTGCTTGGAAAATCCTAACCCAAGATAGCTGACCCATAATTCCTTTCCAGCTGAGCGGTGAATTTTGTTTTAGCCAATCACAGCGAATTTACCTGTTTTGCCGCCAGCCCTCATTCCCAGGTTACTGTAACCCAAGTTTTACGTATTTTGCTGTTTTCTTTTGACTAAAATATTTTATACGTGTCGACAAGAAGCAGAAATATGGAAGGAGGAATGAAAACAATTGCACTTTACTGCTACGTTTCCAAAAATGCTTAGGGCCAGTCGTTTTGTCCACTCGTGCTTTGTTTCCCCGTTCACAGCTATGCTGGTTTAGTGAATGTGGTCAACTCAGATGAAGGATATGAGCGAGCAGAAGGCAATTATTATTAATCATCATTATAATATATTATTCTTTTTCTCCATTTAGGGGTCTTTTGTACGACGAAAGTTTCCACAAAAGCCTAAAGGAGCTATCAAACGAACCCGTGCCGTACTTCCGACAGCTGTGCGAGACTCCCTTTACCCTCGACGAACCGACCTCTAGACCTTCCTCTGCTGGGAGCAGTGACAAAGATGTAGCAGCCAAACCTAAAGAAGAAACGCCGCTCTCCAGAAAGGTATGGTTAAAACCTAACCTGCTAAATACCACAAGACAATCTGTGAGTTTACCGAACTGACTTTGATCAGCCCAGAGGTTGTTTCACTGTTCGATCTGTGAGTTATAGTCGTGCCCTGACTTAGATCAGCCCAGAGGTTGTTTCAGGGTTCGATCTGTGAGTTAGCTGTGCCCTGACTTAGATCAACCCAGAGGTTGTTTCAGGGTTCAATATGCGAGTTACCCGTGCCCTGACTAAGATCAGCCCAGAGGTTGTTTCAGGGTTCAATCTGCGAGTTATCCGTGCCCTGACTTAGATCAGCCAAGAGCTTGCTTCAGGGTTCTGACTTGGATCGGCCCAGAAGTTGTTTAGGGTTCTGACTTTGATGAGCCCAGAGGTTGTTTCAAGGTTTCCATAAAATTTGCAGATTCAGTTTGAAACGTCTGTCAAATTTAAAAAGAAAAATCGTTTTCTAATTGAAACAGGATACACAAGCGTTACTCATAAGTACTAGCCACGAATTGGACGATAGAGCCATCACCAAGACCCACGAGATTATGCAAAGATCTGGTTCAGCGTTGTCTGTGGTAGAGTATCTGAAAGACCAACACTTGGATCCGGAATGGAAATCGACACAGAGACAGAAGGCTCGAAGGTAAATATTTACTCTTAAAATACTAAAAACGTCCTCGTTTTCCATTAGAAACGAATTCGCGAAACCGTCCTTCCTCCCCCCCCTTCTCTACCTCCACTAAGAACAATATAGTGTACAACACGCTACTTTGCTAAAGCAAATTTTCTCTCGTTCCTGTTTACTCAGGAGGCAAAATATCAGAAATGTTTTCAAATGAATGAGACAAAATGCAGCCGTTCCACACCACACCATTTTGTTCCCTGAGTAACTTGTTTTGAAATTAGAATAATTGGTTAAATTCCTTCCCCTAGGGCTAAGTTGGTGATGGTGTTGTTGTTTTTTTTTTTGTTGTTGTTTTTTTTATTTTTTGTTTTCCCTATTAAAAAAATAAAATAAGAATAATGGCAATTCTTATATAGTGCATTTCATAATCCAAATGCGCTTTACAATGATTATTTTCGAGAGACTTGACGGACTGCTATTACGCCCCTTATAGTACACTCAACAAAATTACTCGACTCTGATTGGTCGAGAGGAGTACAATTATAGCGTTAATTGTACTCCGTAGGAGTACCGAATTAAGTCGCTATGGCAACACGGCCAAAACAATATCAAAACAATTATTTTCTATCATTTTGTATTTAAAAAACATATAAATAAAATTTTAAAGCCGTAAGAACTAATCTTTTTTATGCATTTCAGCTGCACGATGGACTGAAAATCGGCCGCCAAATAGACAAAGATGAACGGCGTCGATGCGCATTTTTTACTGAAATTTTGTTGAGTGAACTATAAACAAAAAATCACACGATCTTCTCGTACAATTAGGAATTAATAGACACTTGTAATGTTTTGAAAGTTCTTTAATTGCACTCGCCTTTTTCCTATACAAATTGCAGCAATGCAATTTACAATACAATCATGAGTGTTTGTTAGTAACAGATGCCCCCAAGGCCGGGCTGTTGCACCAAGCGACGATCCCCTACTCTTGCACGAATAATACAGCAGAATCTTTAACGTCCACTTTATTTATGGGGTTAGAGGGTGTAAGCAGACGGGACCTCCGGTTTTACTTGTTAGTGATCCTGTAGTCTTCCCCGTAGCTTCTTAGTGATCTGTAGTCTTCCCCGTAGCTTCTTAGTGGTCCTGTAGTCTTCCCCGTAGCTTCTTAGTGATCCTGTAGTCTTCCCCGTAGCTTCTTAGTGATC